CTCAGAGGAAATGTTGATAAAGATTAAAAAAAAAAAAGCATAGCCCATAGGGGCTGTTCAATAAAAGGACAAACAGTCTATACATCTCAAACAGGTCTAGAGCACACAACTGTTTCACAGCAAAGCACATCATTGATATCGTCATGATGACCTGAGTTATCAGGAAAAGATAAACTCTGTTTAATGTATTTTAGTCAAGAAGGGGAGAATTACGTAATACATTTCAGTAAGACTTCTATACTAAATGTCATTTGAAGTAAACATTCAGTTTTCTAGAAAGTTCAGCATATTCTCTGAGGATCGCCCAGGTCACTGAATGCACATTCACTTTAATTCCCCTCCTAATCCTTCTCACCGTGTATCAGCACACTGGGTACCCCGGATAATATGAGACTGAAATCAACCAGAAGCGGGCAACACTAGAGAACGTTCTGGGAAAGTAAAATTGTTGAAGGAAGAAAGTACTGATACGGCGAAAATGGGAAAAGGCTTTCTAGTTGGCACAGACGGTGCCACTCACCATATATCGACTTTTTCAGAGACAGGCTCATTCCGTATCACCTCTGGCGCCATCCATGCGACTGTGCCAGCAAAGGACATCTTGGTACTTTTATCACTGAGTTCCTTAGATGTACCAAAATCTGAAATTTTTACTGCATCTGTGTGAGTCACCAGAACACTTTAAAAAGAAAAAGAAAACATCCAGATCATTAGTACTAATGAAAACCATGACTCTAAATGGCTGAAACTGAAGATTTTGTTTGCTTCCTCCTGCCTTGTAGAATTCCGCTTGCGATTTCCAATGTTACTGGGACATTGACTCAGAAACAGCATCCTTCATACTTCTGAGGCAGTTTGTGTAGTGGGGTTTTAATACTTGGTTTTATCCTGCCTCCATTACTTGCTAACTGTGTGACCTTTGCCAAGTCACTTAACTCTTCTAAGCTAGTTTTCTCATCTGTAAGATGGAGATACTTCAGGTCACAGTATCTTATTCACAATTCAAAAATGCAAAAAGCTCTCAAAACGGTTTATCAATATTTTTTTCATATGTACAAGGCAAACTCACTTCATTTATCCCATTCTGTGTAACTATCATAGGTTTCCCTACAGACATGTAAATGTGGCTGATTTTAGGGCGCTGCTCCAGACTTCACTAGATGGCTGGAGGTAATGCACTGTGTTACCTTTCTGAAATCGTCTGGCTCCAAGAGTTTTGGGTAAGGGATTATGGACCTGGAATAACAACCTCATTGAATTCTCATTTGAATTAAATGAGGTAAGATACGTAAAGCAACCGTGATCAATAACTATTGCTTTTCATCCTTGTCCATTTTAGCTAAGCTACTAAGAAAAACACTTCTTTGAAACACTGTTTAAATGATAGCCAACTAATATTAAGAATGAGGCCATGACATTGGGGGTTCATTACATTAAAAGGATAACATGTATGCTGGGATTTCACTAGTGTTGATAAGGAAAAGCAGGAATAAATCTAAGCTTTAGGTTTCACATAAATCATGCTTTACTTTTCACAGTAGTTACCTGAACTGTGACCTTGGGCAAACTGCTTTTGCTAGCCTTAAAGAGGAATACAATCTGGTGCCACATCCAAAGTACTGGCAGCCTCACACACTACACTGAATTCGCTTGAAACAACCTGTTCAGAACTTTAGAATGTTAATGAGTTAGGGTTCCAGAGGCTTAATGATAAAGGGACCTATTTTTAACAAAAAGAGGCTTAACGCTCAAATAGTATCAGAATTGAAGAGGTTAAAAAACAGAAAACATCTGAATCTGTCCCCTCTCTTCTCCCTTTGAACTAGGAACTTCACATTTGCCAAGCTTATAACCCCAATGTCAAAAGCTCTCTATTTACCAAAGAACTTAGCACTTACCATTGCTTTAGAATACCTTCATCCACACCCTGGTTTTGCACCTAATCTGTAAAATTTATATAATTTAGGAGTTTTGATTTACTTGGTGTTAGTAAAAATGCACAAGAATTAAAATATTATGGAATACCTGAGATAATTTGAGAATTGATGGTATCACATACCATGAAAGTCAGAAAAGGCAATAAGCCCCTAGACAGAGGGAAATTTTTCTAGGAATTTCCTCTTTTGCCTCTGTTAGCATGAGGAAAGGGAATGAACTCGGAAACTAGAGCTAATATAATGTTGGAGCTTTTCTGAAATCTTCTCTGAGGCAAAGTTGGGGTCACGAGCCCTGCAGATTTAATGTGGGTAATAAAATATCTTGTTACAGTAAGTGAGATGGATCCTGTCTTCCCAAAGTTAGCTTGAAACCCAAAGAGACTGAGGCTGCCAGGGTTGGGGTGCTGTCGTTAACAGAGGGAAAGGCTTTTTGGATAACCAACTTACTACTCTAATCTTTAAGTGACAAGAGTTAAGTAAGGATAGTAGCATGTGATTTTAAATATTCTAAGATTTCCTGACTCCTTGCCTCTAAAATGAATTCTCAAGAACAAGATGGTGCTCACTTCAGCAGCACGTATACTAAAATTGGAATGATACAGAGAAGATTAGCATGGCCCCTGTGGAAAAAAAACATTAAAAAAAAAAAAAAGAAAACAAAAAAGAACAAGATGGTGAAAAAGGTGATCACTCTCAGAGGCCTTCGGCAAGTATTAATATTTCATATACTTTTTGTGTTATGCAGTGGATGGCAAAAGCAACTGGTTGCATTAAGAAGGAATGAACACTATATAATAACGTATTTGCAAGTAAAGCAAGGAGGGGATTGTTCAGTGAACTAAGCACTGTAATAAACATTGCTGAGAATGACGGTAATAAATAAGACCTTCCTTTGAAGTTTATAATCAAGGATTGGTGCGTATCTTTCACAAAGAAGAGGCAGGATTCATTGTGAATCCCTTACCTTTGCATAATGAGGTAGGATGCAGTAGTCTTTGGTTCAGAAGTTCTGGGTTCAAGTCCTAGCCCCATGACTTTTGGGCTGAGCCCTAGTTTCTCTTATATAAAATAGGAATAATGATACTTGTCACATCTATCCCATACAATTTTTGCCAGGATCAAAGAAGATATGATAATAGATATTTAAAAAGTTGTAAACCATGAAAGCACTATGCAAATATGTTGTTTTTTGTTTTGTTTTGTTTTTGAGACAGGGTCTCACTCTGTTGCCTGGGCTAAAGTATAGTGGCGTCGTCATAGCTGCAACCTCAAACTCCTGAGCTCCAGTGATCCTGCTGTCTCAGCCTCTCAAGTAACTGGGACTACAGGCATATGCCACCATGCCTGGCTAATTTTTCTGTTTTTTGTAGAAAACACAAGTCTGGCTACATTGCTCAGGCTGGTTTCAAACTCCTGGCCTCAAGCGATCCTTCCGGCTTGGCCGCCAAAAGTGTTAAGATTATAGGCATGAGCCACAGTGCTTCGCCTCGCAAATGTTTTTGAAAAGAGATTAATCCTCTGCTTCTCTAAACAAAAATGTGATAAGAAATAATAAAAATATTGTTTACAAATAGGAGCTACACTGAAATATACCATTTTGTCAATTCCTCTCCTCATACAATTTGGAGAAGTGAATAAACACTCCACTGAAAGTGGTTATTAGTAGCCAAGGAATCATTTTGAAAACAGATTACTAGAAACAACTCTGCTTCCTTCAGTTAACCAGCTTTTATTTTCCGTAAGGCCACTGTGAACCTTCTGTCCATTTTCTCCTTTGCTTAGATTCTGGGAAGCTCAAAGCCAAATATGTAGTCCACCTCTAACAACTGTACAGAATCTTATGGCATACATTTTGTGAACAAGTTTTAATGTTTTTATTTTTCTTTGCCTTTGTTTCTTATTCATCCATTTTTATCCTGTTGTAAACATTTCTGAAGCTCAGTTAAAAAATTTATTTTGAACACAATAGGAAAACAACAAAATCAAGCCTTCAAGTGGGACAGTTTGGCACTTATTATTTGAGATGATGGAAAGTGAATACTTCTGATAATAATGAATATATATTATATTTGAGACAGGGTCTGGCTCTGTCGCCCGGGTTAGAGCGAAGTGGTGTCATCATAGCTCACTGCAACCTCAAACTCCCAGGCTCAAACAATCCTGCCTCAGCCTCCTGAGTAGCTGGGACTATAGGTGCACAGTACCGCACCCAGCTAATTTTTCTTTTTCTTTCTCTTCTTTTTTAAGCATGAAGCAAAGTTTGTTGAGGAGAGAAAGATAGGATTACAAAGCAAGAGCAAGACATAAGTACACAGAGCAAGAGCTCAAGATACATTTGCCACAGACGATGAACAGACCCCTTGTTGTGATAAAAAAGGCCTCTTGGCCAGGCGCGGTGGCTCACGCCTGTAATCCTAGCACTCTGGGAGGCCGAGGTGGGCGGATTGTTTGAGCTCAGGAGTTCGAAACCAGCCTGAGCAAGAGCGAGACCCCGTCTCACTAAAAATAGAAAAATATATAGAAAAAAAATTAGCCGGGCATGGTGGCACATGCCTGTAGTCCCAGCTACTCGGGAGGCTGAGGCAGAAGGATCACTTGAGCCCAGGAGTGTGAGGTTGCTGTGAGCTAGGCTGATGCCACGGCACTCACTCTAGCCCGGGCAAAGGAGTGAGACTGTGTCTCAAAAAAAAAAAAAAAAAAGGCCTCTTTTTCTTTTTCTGTAGAGATGGGGTCTCACTTGTGTTCAGGCTGGTCTCAAACTCCTGGCCTCAAGCGATTCTCCCACCTTGGCCTCCCAAAGTGCTAGGATTACAGGAGTGACCCACCGCACCTAGCCAAATAATGAATATTATTTCACAGTTGTACAATTGAACAGTATCGAAAGGGAAAACTAGTGTCAGGTACCTGGAAATATGTGCCATATAGGTAAGTAAGTAGGTCAAAAATAATCCAAAAGATATGCACAAAAGAATTACCCACTGTGCTGATTCCAACTGAACTGAAAGTATGATGTCTGAAAACTTCAACTATGGTTGATAAAAATTTCTTATTTCAAAACAACAAAACAAAATAGCTGAAAAATTAACTCCAAAACTCACTTCGGTGATTTGAGATCACGATGAATAATCTTATGGAGGTGCAAATAATTCATTCCACTTGCAATTCCTGTGGACCAGTCTACCAGCAATCGAGGAGTGATCTTCCTGCCAGCTCTCAAGACCTCATAGAGTTGTCCATGGGCACAGTATTCCATGATAATACAATAACATGGTGCCTGAGTACAAACACCCCTTCCGAGAAAACACAAACATGTACGTAAATACACACATGCATGTATAAATATTTTAAGAATATTTAATAAATTTAACAAAAACCAATTCTATATCTGAATTGTTTTTAAAATGTATATAGATAACAGTTCCTGATTCTTAAATTAGCATTGAAACCTCTCTAGTCTACAGATTTCTCTATTATGCACATAGACAATTTTTGTTTGTCCACTCCAGATATCTTAGGCTATGCTGTCTGTGTCTGGTGACTTTTCTGTGGGACTATTCCATTCTGGGACAAACAACACCCTTTCCTGAGGTTTGTGTAGGCTGGATAATGTGTTGTTTTACATCATTAAGAATAATTTAAAATATCTTCCTTTTAGACTTAAATAGAGAGTTTTATATGTAATGTACAGAAAGAGAATTCAAACAAAATATTGCTATTTTTAATATTATTTGTTGAATATTAAATTATTCAAATTTAACTAACTACACTGAGGACCAAAACAAAGAGTCAATTTTCTATCTTACCTAGTGTTTGGAAAACATTTCTGTTTAGAATAAAAATAATGTTATACAATGTATTATATATCTATGTAGCCTCTATTTTCATCAATTCCTACATCTTCCATGAAGCATTTCCTGGTGTATTCCAGTCTACAAAGATCTTTCTCTTCTCTAAATTCTTATGATATATAGCAGCCATTATTTTTTAATTTAGAGATAGGACCTCACTGTGTCGCCCAGGCTGGAGTACAGTGGCATGATCACAGCTCACTGCAACCTCAAACTCCTGGGCTCAAGAGATCCTCCCACCTCAGTCTCCAGAGTAGCTGGGATTATAGGCAGGTATCACCATGCTTGGTTAGTGTTTTTTTTGTTGTTTGTTTTTTTTTTTTTCGTAGAGACAGGGGCTCACTATGTTGCCCATGCTAGTCTAGTTTTTTACATGCAATTTTTCTCTTCCCATGTAGTTATAGGCTCCTTGAAGGGAAAGACATTCAAGTTCTTTTCTCTCTACCACAAGGCCTAGACATTCACAGCAAATCCTTGACAAATGTTTCTTAACTTCACCTCAACTTTCTCAGCTGAAAAAAGCCTTTACAGTAACATGTGCAGAGACGTGGAGTAGGAGGAAATTTACCAACATGAGAGAACATCTTCTAGTTTCCAGGCATATTTCCATGTTTACTTTTCTTATTTAATTTGCCCCAAACCATTGTAAGATAGATATTGCCTTTTCCATTTTTATACGTAAGGCTCGGAGTGAGAAAGTGACTTGCCTCAATCACAGCTAGATCATACTAAGAAGCGACAGAGCTGGGATTCAAACTCAATCTGTCTAACCTCAAGGCCCTTTCCACTCACTACGCTACACTTCTTCCCCTTCAGCTCCCCGCCCCTGCTGTGCCCCACCAACCCTCAACAGTCAGGACCTTTTAGCTTTTTAACTTCTGTATGGACAAGCATATTGGGGATTCCTATGTTAATACCATTATTTCATGAAAGTGGGAATGACCATAATAACTCTACTTTACAATTTTCTCAGGATGAGAGAAGAAAAATTACCATATACAGTTCTCTGTGTCACATCTCTTATGGGTATACATGCCTTTCTTTGAAATTTTCTAGAAAACTTAACAGAGTACTCTATCTGTAAGACACCCAGTTTAAGTCTTCAGCCAGTTACCAACTCATGCCCTATCTCTTAAGCTTCTGTGAGTGATGAAAGAATTTAGAGGCCATGGCTTGAGGCGATGATCATGTAAAGATCTTATAACAATAGCAGGTTATTAAGTTTAATTAGTCTTCATTTTCCCTGCTTTGATGTGCCTATCACATGCCACCAAGCTATTTCTATTACTCTCCTATCATCTTGATTTTTAATGAAAAATTTTTTCAAGTTTCTGTTATTTGACTTGTAGGAAAGCTTGCTAAAGCACAAATGTATAGCAACTACAAACAAATAACTTAATTGTCGTTACAGAGAAATACTGAATAGGGCAGGAATAATGTAATGTGCTTAAGAATATCAAGATAAATATTTGTTTGAAGGTACTCAGCATCCTATTCAACCATGTTCTAACTTGTTACGCAAACATAGAAAGGGTCTAACAGTGACATGTTATGCACTTTTCATTTCTTGACTGACTAATGAGAAGCAGTCATTCCATCAGCCCTGTACTATGACAAGGCTTCTTAGTAGCTATAAATAACAGCTCTATAATCACTTCTAATTGCTACCTTTTCTTCCCCTTGGCACTGAATTCCATTAGGAACAATCAGGTTGGGTTTTCTTAAGAGATTAATAACAAAATTGGATGAAAAAAAGAACACAGTATTCTTATCTTATGCCTTCCCTTCTGTATATGGTTCTTACTAACTTCCAAAGAAGCTGTAAGCACAGAATCAGTATCCAGAGAGACATACTAAAATCTAATCATGCCGTCATATCTTCCAGACAGTCCTAAATGTGATTCATTGGCCAAGCAACACATGGCACAGATGGCTGCAAACATAACACTGCACAATGCCCCGAGAGCATGGAGTAATGGGCCGGGGACACGGGCTCGCCATTGTTTTCCACGTGGAGGTAAAGACTATTCAAGTATCTTCACCTTCAAGAGTTGGGCACTAACATGGCAATGTGTGCCCAACAATGCCGAAAACTGCATGCGCAGGCAGGAGGGTGAGATGGGAAAAAGACTGGGAGGTAAAAGGAAGAAGCAAAAGAAAGGAAGTAAAAATCAAGCTTCTCACACCTCCACCCTCTTAGGTTGCATTTCTACCTCCAGGTACCCAGGATATCCTGCTGGAAAGCCCTTGTACCTGGGACGCACAGCCTAGTTCACTTCAGGAGGCAAAAAGCCATATTAATCTACAGAACATTCTGTATCTCAAACCCAACGGCCTAGTGATGTAAGTTTAAAGTTCCTGATGCAAAAAAAAAAAAAGGTCCTGATGCTTCCTTCCATTTAGGAGGATGTACCATCCTGGAAGTGATGATTGTCTCAGTGAAGCAAAATGAGGGAAAGAAGGGGGTCTCTGTTTGTCTGCTTAAAATAATCCTCCTATTGTCTTCTGAAATTTATCAGCTTTGGAAAGATTATAACTGGTCTCTATAGCATCTCATTTTAGTCACACATCCTCTTGGCCCTACTAGGGCAAATGATGATAGAATAACTGCAGCAACTGAAGCTCTCCCCATGTCCTCTGCACCAATGCCCCTTCCACAAGGAAGTGAATCCAAACGCTTCTTTTAGTCTCTTAGTATCCCAGTTGAACGCTTCTCTTCTTTTCACACTTTTCCCTTTCTGTAAGGGTCTTATTTAGGAGTCAAAACTCAACCTCAGTACTCATTGGAATCCATTCTATAAAATCTGTACCCAAGATTTCTCCTCCTTACTTTGGGGATATGATTCTAATTAAGAGTTATCACATGACATTTCTTGTTTTATACTGAGAGTTTAATCAAGGAAGGATCCCTCTTGAGGCTAGGAGAAGTTCCTCCTAGTTTAGGGAAGGGGGATTTGTAAGTTATTCCACTTTTAGTTGTAGCCTGATTGGTCATACTATTTTCTAGGAATAAAAACATATATATCAAATATATCAAGAAGATCTAGTTCTTAAACTTTCATCTGACCTAAAGGCTACCTTTCTTGTTCTTCACCTTCCCTCCTCTAAAGACACTTACCATTCCTTTGTTCAAGCCGAGGGAAACCTTTAAAGGTTAGCAAGAGAGAGAACTGAATGGACAGTTGAGGCAGAAGAGATTACTTATGTTTAGAGCTCAGCACTTCCAAGTTTGGTAATTTCCACAATTTTACCTTTGATTCTCCTCCTCCTGTTAGGAATCCCAGTCAATATCATGAAAAGAATGGTGTAGACCAGAAAGATAAGATCATATACTCTTACAAAACAACTGCTTTGTCAAATGAATATAACTTACTGTCATCAATAACTCTACTATCATTAGATTTAGAAAGCTGAGTGTTTGGCATTACTTGAAAAGGGGCCTAGCAAAACCTGAGGCTATACTCCAAAGGTATCTGTTATTACAAGTTAATATTTAAGAAGGAATGCTAACAGAAACTAATAAAAACACATATCTATTACACAGGAACTGATTGTTCCCTGATCACTTCAGATGTTAGTTTTGTTTTAACTGAATCTTAGGATGTTCAGTTTTATCGAAGTAAACTCTGTCGTCCATTGATAAACGAGGTTGATGCAGCAGATCTGACTGCTTGTGGGAATCCACTTCTTCCCTCCCTGCCCCCGGTGCATCCCCGCTCCGAGCAGCACATACTCTGGCAAAACGAACTACTGGATTAGAAGATGCTTAAGGACATGACTCAAATTTAATAGTTCATTGCTACCCTCCCAAAGCATCTAGCACAGTGCTAAGTCTATGGAATGTTTTGGAAATGTCTCTCGAAGCAGGGATTTGTATGTATATATCAGGGGAAAGAAAATATCTCTATTTCTTAAAAAAAAAAAAAAAAAAAAAAGCCTTGACCTACTTGAATGCGATGATGTTAGGGTGCTTCAACTTCCTCAAATGCTTGATATCCGTCTCATTCTGTTCTCTCACTTTCTTGATGGCCACCTCTTCCGCTCGGAATTTGCCCAAGAAGACAGCTCCCTGGGCTCCACTACCCAGCCACTGCAGCTCTGAGATCTCCTCAAATGGCACTTCCCAAGTATCTAGGCACATAAGCAAGAAATAAGCTTGAAGAGATCTCAGAATTTGCTCAGGGACCATTCTACAAGGCCATTCTGAAGGTACCAACTTCACCATCATCCAGAATGACTTTTACCTTCTGTCTCCCACCAAAGATAAAACCTTTCTATGCACCTTAGTACTATAGATCAAATATTCATACATATTAGTTTGCATAGACTTTAACCACCGAAATCAAGCAGATCAGAGATCTCCAATACACTCTCCTCAAACAAAACATATCCTGACACTCCTGTAGCCCTGCCTCCTCACCTTAAGCTTGCATGTTCAATTTACCTATCTTCCTCACCCATAATAGGTGTTATTTTATTCCTCTTTGAATGTCTATTGCAGATGCTCAGTGGATCCTTGCTGAATGGATTTTTAATGATAGTCTCCTAAGAACCTAATTATGCATAATACTTATGTTAGTATTTACCTTTTATTGAGTACTTACTATATACCAGACATTATCTAGTACTTTACATATATCATATGTTCAATCCTTCCAATAACCCTACAAGTCTGGCCTTATTATAGTTATTTAAAGATGAAAAAACTAAGGCATAGGGTTGGTAGGTAAATTATCCAAAATCGAATAGTTGGTAAGTGGCAGAACTGGGTCCAGAACCCCAGAATTGGCTGATTCCAAGAACAGTGCTTTCTCCACTATGTCACATTGCCTCTCATGAAGTAACTGAGAGGGCCATTAGTCAATGGGCATGACATATTTACCCATATAGCTGCATTATTTTCAAGTTTCTCTTTTTCTCAGAGTTTTTTTCTCAGAGATTTTTTTTGGCACCAAAAATTTAACAGGGGTCATTTCTCAGTGGTGGCATTACTAGTCATTCATATTATGTTTCTTTATCCGTTTCTGTATTAAAAAAAATTTTTAACCATAAGCCTATATCACTTTTATAATGAATAAAATGCTATTTTAAATAAAGCACTTCAAAAATTCAATCAATATTTGCTTTAACCTCATGAAACTTTAAAAAAAGAAGCATTGATCCTTCTCTTTGTCCCCCTTCTTACAAGGACATTATCATAGGTAAGAAATGAACATCAAAGAGCTAGGAGCCCCACAGAGTGAGAACGATGATGACAATGTTAAAGGGTATGATAGATTCTCATTAGATCACTAAAAGGCCACTGTTTGCAGAACACAGAACAAAGTAGTGCTGAGTTAACTTTGAAGATATTCTGGTCTTGAAAGCAGATCAACTCACTACTACACTGATGAAGCAAGAGCAGAAAGAGTTCATCAAGCAAGCTGCATTTCCCTCTTCTCAAATTTCCCCTACCTTGAGGGACAAGAAATTCTGCAGATTTTTAATAAAATGCATTTTCTCATTACAGTGGCTAAAACTTGACCTTCAAATAGTATAGCAGAAAAAATTATGGTGACGGTGGTTTATAGCATGGACATTCAGCCCGTTCTCCTGATATGAACAGTGTTAAAGGTTTCTGCTCTACTAAAATTGAATAAGAGCAAATCTCTCTAAAATACAGATAGCTCACAAATACAAAATCAACAAAGGAGCAAATGATACCAAGTGAGATTTGGGAGGAAACAGCAAGTTACACCCCTATTTCATTTATTTATTATTTATTTACTTATTTTTTAGAGACAGGTTCTCATTCGGTTGCCCTGGAACTCCAGGGCTCACGTGACCATCCTGTCTCAGCCTCCCGAGTAGTTAAGACTAGAGGTGTGTGCCACCATGCCTGGCTAGTTATTATTAATTTTGGGGGGGACAGGGTCTCACACTGTTGCCCATGCGGATCTTGAACTCCTGGCCTCAAGCAATCCTTCTCCTCAGCCTACCGAGTCGCTGGGATTACAGGGATGAGTCACCACGCCCCGGCAGCCTTGACTATTTTAAATATCTGTAGGGCTTCTAGGATGAGTATTAAGTGGCTGACAGAATCTCACTTTCATCTTATTCGTGCTTATTCGGGCTTATTCGTGCAGCACACATGATACATGGATATTGATGGCATATTATAAGAGAATTTTCCTCATTAGGGGTCTAGTGAAGAATTAAAAACTGTTATTTTGACCATTCTAGGGGCTGAATGATTATTACTGGATTCTGGGGCAAGAACATAACTGGTCAACATATCTTTGAACAACTTTATATAAGCCCAAATTACCCTCATTTTTAATACAGTAACTATTAAAATTAGACCAATGTTTGGGTGTCTTTTTTCCTTATTTACTATTAAACATTAGAAACATTAGGAAAACACATATTTTATCTGAAATCACATCCCATACTCACTGTCATCTTCCTTCTTAGTTTTTGTTTCATGTTTATAGTTTTTATATAGCTATAAACATGAAAAATTTTGTTCATGTTTATAGCTATATAAATGTGCATGTGATATATAATTTCTTGTATTTTTTTATGTATCCTTCACGTACTACAGTTTTTATTATAAATTTTAATAGTTATTTAATGTACCCTCTTACCTTCTGTGCTTAAGTGTTTCCATATTTTTGTCTTGCTAACTTATATTTGATACTTCTTTTTTTATAGTATTCCCTCACATTAAATCCCTAGGTTAAAGAGTAGAAATAGTTCCCCGGAACTATTTGGAATACATACATTCCAAATTGCTAACCAAAGGGATTTTGCTAGTTTTTGCTGACAGTAGCAATGTGTGAATGTATTAGTTTTACCACAACTGTGCTAGCAGTGAGAATTCTAATTATTTTTTAGTTCTAATTTAATTAGGTATAAAATAGTGTTTTATAAGTTTGCACTAGTTTAATTGCCAGTGATGTATTTTCTCCACATTTGTTTAATACTCACATCTGCTTTGTAGAAATGGTCAAAAGTTCTTTGTCCATTTATTTATTTGGGTTCTTATAAATTTGAAGAAGCTCTTTCTATGTTTCTGTGATGCAAATTAAGAGAATACTTTAATAAGACTTTTCGCTTTATTATTATTATTTCTTAGACATGGTGTTGCTCTCTTGTAGGCTGGAGTGCAGTGGTGTCATCATCACTGCAGCCTCCAACCCCTGGGCTGAAGTGATCCTCCTTCCTCGGCCTCCCAAAGTGCTAGTATTACAGGTATGAGCCACTGTGACCAGCTAATTTTATTATTTTTGAACAAAAATTTTATATAGTTGTGCATCATTTCCTTTGTAGTTTCTTCTACTGCCTAGCCTATCTTCTAGAAGTTATCTATAGTTGATTTTTTAAAATTTAACCTTTATATCCATCTAGAGTTTATTTTGGTATGTGGTGTGAGGACAGATATAATATGGAACATTAATTTTTTTCCATATTGCTATTTAATGATTCCAAAATAATTTGTTAAATAATCCTTTTTTTCATGTTGCTTTATGATGCTTATATTACAATTCACTATATTTTAGAAATAATGCTTATTATCTAGTATTTTTATTAAATGAGATAGATTAATTACTAAAATATAAATGACAAAGATATTTGATGCTCAAACACCAAGTGTTCAGGGTATTATAAGAAAGAATAAAATTCTCCTTTACCAATCTCTGCCTCATGCCTGTGCTATTCAGCTATGTTCAGCCAAGTCTTAATTATCTATAGAAAAATAAAGGGAATAGCATTGGTAATAAAAGGATACAGAGTATAAAATAAAGCAATATTTTGAACATGTTTCCATCAGTCTTTTTACTAGAACTAATTAGAAGTAAAATTGATTGATGCGAATTTAGTACTCTGCCCAGTCTCAAAGTCCCTGTCAGTATCTAGTAGCCAGCCAAGGAATAGCAAAATGGCAGAAAAAAGAAAGTTACTAATAAACATGTATGAAATTGGGGGCAGAGATAATTGATGAGCAAAATAACTAATCTTGTAATAATAAAGAACTGGCTATACTCTCCCCAGGGTTAGTCCCATACTTTTTTTTGTTTTTTTTTTTGGGACAGAGTCTCACTCTGTTGCCCCGGCCAGAGTGCTGTGGCATCAGGCTAGCTCACAGCAACCTCAAACTCCTGGGCTCAAGCGATCCTTCTGCCTCAGCCTCCCGAGTAGCTGGGACTACAGGCATGTGTCACCATGCCAGGCTAATTTTTTCTGTATATTTTTAGTTGTCCAGCTAATTTCTTTCTATTTTCACTAGAAACGGGGATCTCACCCTTGCTCAGGCTGGTCTTGAACTCCTGACCTTGAGCGATCCTCCTGCCTTAGCCTTCCAGAGTGTTAGCATTACAGGCGTGAGCCACCACGCCCAGCCATAGTCCCATACTTTTTGCTGCTTTTATATCTGTCCCATTGGTACTCTTCCCCAGCTTTTATCTTCTCTTTGATTCAACACTATGACTACTATCTTAATTCCAATATCCACCATGATCCCTAGGACTGAGAAAAAGCCACATGCCCACCCACTTTAAGGTAGAAATTCTCCTTTGTTTCGTCAGACATGGCTATGACAATACTTGCTTTGAGACTGGACAGTATTTGGCAATAAAAAATTTCAGTTACACATACTATCATACTTGGGCTTCACTATCAACATATTAAAAGGCAAATGAGGGCATCCTTAACATTTAAAAAAATCTAGTGAAATTTCCTCCTAAGTACCAAATGTAGGGACACGTCTGTTACATGTGTTATCCTTTGCTTGACTGCCATGCAGGATTGAAGATTAGCTCCCTGATTCCACAGCTACAAGGAAAACATTACACTTAGTTTCTGGCTAATAAATCTCTTTGATGGCCCACAGCAGCACCAGCCCTCAGTGGGATATCCTGCAATCTGCTGAAGAATGAGGCACCTACTATACCCTTATAAAAATCTTAAGCTGACCAGGCCAGTTTCTTATTTATTTCTAAAATAAGCCTTTCTGAAAGTCACATAATCAATTGGAACACAAATTAAATACTAGTTTGTAGAACAATAAAAAAATTTTAAAAGGCTCCTTTTAACAGACATACGAGATGTGTCTAGTACCTCTGTTTATGTGTCTGAACCTCAATGGTGCATTTGGATCTTGAGACTTTCAAATTATCACCAAGATAAGTGTAAGACTGGACAAATGAAGATCCTAGAACCCAAATGTAGTTTATCACATAAGCAGATATTAGTAGGTTTTGTGTCTAAGCAGAGAATGGGAAACTTATAAAAAAATAATAAATTAAGATTGGTTATCTCTGGATTGTGGGATGACAAGTAATTTTTATTTTCTTCTTTGTGCTTATCTTTATTCCCAATTTTAAAAATAATAATACTGTCTAACAGGAATCCCAAACTTTTGTGTGACAAGTAACAACTTTAATTTCCTGGAAACCTTGAAATCACAGAGGGGAAATGTGGGTGGAATGTGGAGGGTGTTGGAGTACATCTGAAAAAGAGAGACAGACAGACAGATACACACACACAAAACCAGGGACTGACAAAGAATTTCTGTACGGAGCAGGAATGGATGATGTGATTGACAAATCCTGGAAAGTACCTGGAACTGATAGATTCACCTGTAAATCCCAATACACTTGTGGAAAATGGGTATAGACGGAGAAGTTGGTATTTGGTTTAAGACAATGTATTTCAGAAGTAGGAAAAACAAAATGCATGAGAAAAGCAGTTAATGGTAACTGATGCCTACTGGCTGTTGTGGAAAAGCTGTCTACGGTCTTGACTAAAAGAGATGAGCAGACTTTTAGGGGAGGGTCTGAGTCCAAAATTCAGTTACAAAATAAATAAAACAGAATTTCCAATCTCTTTTTTTTTTTTTTTTTTTAGAGACAGGGTTTGGCTCTGTTGCCCAGGCTGGAGTGCAGTGGTGTTATTATAGCTCACTGTCACCACCAACTCCTGAGCTCAAGCGATCGTCCTGCTTCAGCCTCCCAAGTAGCTGGGACTACAGTGTGTACCATGATACTCGACTAATTTATATTTTGCAGAGATGGGGGTATTGCTATGTTGTACAGGCTGATCTCAAACTCCTGGCTGCAAGCAATCCTCTCTCCTTAGCCTCCCAAAGTGCTGGGATTACAGGCATTAGCTACCTTGCCTGGCCAAATCTCACTTTTGGTCCATTTTTTTTCCTTTCCAGAATTTCTTGATGAGAAAACTCATAAAAACATAATCATTTACATAAGGCTCAAAGATATGTATCAAAAGACTTAAAACAACAAATCTTTTGAATCCAACTGTTCCTCTTCTAGAAATTTATCCTAAGGACTAATCAAATGTGTGTAAAAATAAAGTACTAGATAAATGTTCATTGGAGTGTGGCTTATAATCACTAAAATTGCAAACAAATTAAGTGTTGAGCAATAGTATATTGCTTAAATAAGTATTGGCACATTCATACAATTTAATATTATGTAGCCATTAAAATGATGCTGAAGAATTATATTTAAGATATGGAAAATGTTCACAATATGAAGTGAAAATGTTATAAAATAGAGTGACTCCATTTTTTTTAAAGTATACACATATAAACAAGAAGGCTAACAACAATATACACTGAAAACATTAATGGTGGTTATTCTCAGAGGACTGAGGATCATAGACGGTTAAAAAAAATTTTTTTTGAACTTACCTGTATTTTCCAAATTTTATACATATATTACTTTTGTTATCAGAAAAAAAAGTTCTTTTAAAGAATATAAACAAGATTATAAAGACCACCAGGGCTTCAAAAGCATACCATTTGAATTGGAATATATGAACATACAAGTTACACAATGAAAAGTTAGTTAAAAGTCTACTTTTCAAAAAGCTGTGGGATCTAGAAATAATAATGCATCTCAAGATTAGTTAGATATTTTGTTATTTCCTCAAAATGTGAGCTTTCTATGTCTTGACTGTAAGAAAATAATTCCTTTTTACTATAACCTAAGGCAGTCTTGCAATCTTTAGGGGCATTCCCACGTGGCTTCTGTCTGGTTTTAAATTAGTCCGGTGGCCATCAGACTTTTTGATTGTATAGATTATTAGTAAAAAAGTTTTAAATGTGTACTTACTACATGATTTATTTATAAATTATATATCTGCATAACTATATTAAAATGTCAAATATATCTGAAAATATGTATGAAAATAGAAATTTTAAATGATGAGATACAATAAACAGGAGCTTTAGTATTTTTTTCTTAAAACCTCATGGATTATTGTGTACATACTCTACTTTGGACACCACTGAACTGAACAACCACAAAAGATGGGCTTTGACCAAAAAAGACCCACCAAATGTGAATCTATTCCTTTCAGAAGATCTATAGGAAACTGAAATGGGGTTTTCATCTGGCACTAGTTCTTTAATTTACCCACAGGTCAAAGCTTATCCCGGTTCATGGTGGTGATGGTGGTGGTGACGGTGATGGTGTGTTTACACAAAGAATATCTTCCAAGTTCACACTCCAGCTTACCTTGCTGCTGCAATTTGTAGTCAGTGGAATATGCCTTCCCAATGATATTCCATACAGGCCTTAAGCATCCAAATAGTCCTTCAAGAAACCCACCGCTGCCACTGCCCGACCTGCTGAACTGAATCTTGATGTCTTCAGTTCCACTTATGTTCTCTCCATCCACAGTGTTGCTGTTCCCCTGAGACATAGCCATCTCTGATTCATCTTGTTCCCTTAGCTGAAGAACACTGTTCTCAAACTGGTCCCTGGAATCCTCGCTTATGCTTGTCAACACTGTTGCGGTGATGGGGCTCTTCACGCTCTCGATTAGCTCTGTTCGTACCACCCCCTTCTCCTGCTGGTCCTCGAGGATCTTGGGTGAAGGGTGGTTCCCCATAGTTGTGAGTTCATCTTGTGGTCCGTTGAAAGCTTTGTTTTCACTCAAGGGTAAGTGTGGAGAAGAGAAGGAGCTCAGGTGCTCCTGAGGGGTGGCCATCGTGCCATGAGTGTGACCAAGGTCCTGAGATGACACTCAGAGGATTATTACAGTGGTGTTCTGATGCAAGAGAGGGCTCCAAAACCTGAGAAAAACAGGAGGAAGACATGACATCTCCTTTTCTTTAGTATCCAAACTACTATCCTTTTCTGTGCATATAATAAAAACATTGAAACAATGGGGACTGTTTAAACTGTGGTTTATTCCACATGATGGAAATGTGTGCAGTAGTGAAAAATTATGTCATGTAAGTGTACTTATTAACATGAGAAAATGTCCATGACTTACTAATACAAAAAAAAAGTTAGAACAATATATACAACATTAGCTTAAAAAATTATTTAAAAGGATATACAAACATACATACAAGAAAAAAGGCTGGAAAGATAAATCCAAAGAATTAACAAAGTTAATTTTAGGTGGTTAGATTTGGGAGAGGTTTATATTGCTGTGATTTTCAAGGTATTCCAAATCTTCTGTACTAATATTTATTATCTTTTTAATCAGAAAAAAATTATTTCCTCTTCCAGAAATTAAGATGTTCTGATATACATATTTTTATCAGAAACTACATCCTGTGTTATAAGTTGCTACTCATCTTTTCTCTTTTCTAAGGCATTCATTAAGTCATGTAGATAAATGTTTTATGTATGTGACAAGACAAATTCCTGAGATGTAAATTATGTTTTTATTGTACTGCACTAAATTTGGGGCAATCCCAGCTCTTTAAACTTGTTCTTTGCTTCTCATCTGTTCATCAGCACCATTTTCTTGGGGTCACCTGACCTCTACAAATAAAGATTTGTTCTAAATTGGCCAGATCACGCACAGTCAATCTTAAATTTATTTGAAGTATTCTCTTATCACAACTTTACTTTCTTTATAAATCCCTATACAATAATCATTCCTTCCTTCACTCTGTATTAAGCATCTAGAATATGTAGAGGCCAGGTTATAAAGATGACCTCACTTTGCAGAGAGGGCAAAAGACAGACCAACAAAGATTAACAGTACAATGTTTATAATGAATCAAGTAAGTGCTCTGAAAGCACAGAGGGAGGGATCGTTTCAGGGAAAGGTGCTCAAAGGTGGTAACTTTTGATCCATTTGAAGGAAATGTAGGCATTCATCAGGCAAGTAAGAAAGGCACGGGTGAAAGAAGAGGGAGAAGGTATTATAGATGTGGAGAAAAGCATGAATGAGGGCATGGAGGCTTGAAAGACTACGGAATAGATGAGAAATCTAAAGTGGCTGGAATGTAGTTATATGTAAGTGCACAGAGAACGATATGAATGGACAGACAGGGCCTACATTACAAGGAGCTTTGGATGCTAGGCTAAGAGGTTTGCATTTTCTATTGAAGGTAATAGGGAGCCATAGTTTCCTATATTGGGGATTATGGATAAAAATAGACCCTCCCCATTTTATTATTTTCTCATCTTTGTTACTGAGAACCAAATTTTAAGCCTTTTTTTTTCCCATTGCCATATCCTATGAATAGTCTGTACTAGTGAACCAAGGAAAATATCCTATCCTCTGAACTCTCGTTCATTTATTCAAACATTTATGGAGCTTCTATTACATGCTATGCAATGTGTTAACTATTAATGAATGGTACATGGGTTCCTACCCTTTAGGAACTTACAATATAGAGGGAAAGACCAATAGCTAATAGTCACATGGTTAGATATGGCACAAAGATATGTATAAGGTACTAAGAGAGCTCAGAAAAATAAACATTAAGTATGTCTACAGATGTCATAGAAGAAGTTTTATTTGAGTTAAGTCTTGCAGGGTGAATTAGTGGTCACTAGGAAAGAAAGACTAGGCATTCCAGGTAGTACCGGGGAGCAGCAGGAGATAACTCTTAGAAAAGGTAGGCAAAGGACCTGTATGACAAGTTAAACCTTTTGGATTTTACTCTCAGGACAACAGAGAGCCATTAAGGAATTTTAAAGAAGGGTCATATTTGTAAGTTAAAATCACATCTATAGAAGTTGAGGTAGGATTAAAAGGGAAAGGCTGGAGATCTAGGATGTTAGGAGGTGGCATTCAAGTAAGAAATGATGAGGGCCTGTACCAAGGCAGTAGCAATGGCAATGAAGAGGACGGGGTAAATTTAAGAGGTAGAACTGGTGATCTAGCAATTGATTAGACATGGGGGTGAGTGAGGGGAAGAGGGAGAGGAAGACTTTTCAAATAACTTACTTGGAATAATGAATAGATGGAGAATGTCAATAACTGAGATATGAAATACTAGAAGAAAAGAAGGTTTGGAAGAAGAGAATTGGCTCAATTATGGATACACAGAATTTAAGGCCTACTGTGTATCATGCACTGAACTAGGCTTTTATTTATGTTATCTGATTTTAAAAAGACACTTTGTAGAGAGGGATTTAAAGAAAGGTAAATATTGAGGGTCATTGAGCTCAGGGGCAGAAGTTTCCAAATAATAAAATCAAGTTAAAAATGTATTTATCAAATATATTCTGGGAACTATGCCATGCACTAGGCCAGGTTCTGTGGATATAGAACATTCCTTTTACCCTTGTAAAGACAAAGTGCTTTACAATTTACAGAGGCCTGTTTACATAATCAGCAACGTACTGGTAAATCAGCTCTCCTCAAAACAACAACAATCTGATTTGTAGTTTTTGCTGATTTCCCTGGTATAAATACTCCCACCATAGCAGATTTCAAGCTAATAGAACTTTAACAACCTGCTTGCACAGTTTCTAAATATTTGACAATTGGCTCCTACGAGTGGTATATAAGCCAGCTCCAGCACCATAGTCCTTGTAACAGTGCCATTCTCATCTCACAAGCGAAGTAAGAAACTTTTCTGAGGTAATATATGGAGTAAGTGGTAGAGCAGAAATTAAAATCTACCTCAAGCTCAGATTCCCCCAAATCCTTTGCCTTTTTTTACAACATGATGGAACCATTTTATAACCCCTCACTTTCTTAGAGTGCTTTACAGGTTAAAAAAGGCTGTTATTTGTGTTCATTTGATCTACACATTTGATCCCCTGTGTAAGGAATCCAGAGCATGGAATCATTATTCCTATTTTATAATTAAGGCCTAGAGAGAGGTATATGCTAAATGTCACAGAGCCAGGATTAAATACTGGGTTATTTTTCCTAATCCCAAAACTCTCTCCTGTACCATGTGGTCTCTGGAAGACATAATTCCTATCCTTTGAAAGCTCACAAACTACTTAAGGAGTTAATAATTACACTGACAGAATTACCTCCTGCCCTCATCCCCCATGACAATGAACCACATTCTGTTCTGCAGAGCTGTGGGAGAAGGGGAACAAGAATGAGGGTAGGGAGACTTAGCAGGGACTGAATGAAAGAGGCAGGACTTGAGATGAACCTCTGAAGGTAAGATGTGTGACAAAGGGAAGGAAGTCAGGGCAGTATAAGAGCATTAGCAGAGGCAGGAAAGCAGGAATGATCAGGGCGTGTGTGAGGGCTGCTGACCCAGAAATAACGGACGAGTGGCTAATGTAGGGGGGCAGTGTGCAACAAGGGTAACTCCTGCCTCTACGCATGGGCTCTGAAAGCTTATAATGCAGGGCAGGTGACTCTTCCCTCTGAACAAATCAGAGACCACTTTAACTGGATGGGGTTAGGCTAAGAGGTACTTAAATTCCAGGGCATGGAGGAATCTAGACCTTGGGAAGCTGCTTGGGAACATAAGGTTGGGGGGAAAAAAGAAGAAAAGCAAGAGCCCTTTGTTACAGCAATAGCTGTTAGCTGAATTTGTCCCCATTCCCCCTCCTCCACCCTCCACCATTCTTTGTGTGCTCATCTCTAAGCTTTGACATGACTGATCCCCTCATTTTACTTCTTGCTAATCACCTGCCACAACCTTGAGCTGTCTCTTGCTGTTGGCGTCTGGGACCTTGCTCCATCTGATCTCTTTTAAAACTGCTGACTTCATACTATCTGACCTGGCCACTGTCTCAGCAGTTACTTCAGTTGGCCTAGGCCGCTGGGGCTCCCGGTTATCCTATACAGCACAGGGCCTACATTATGCTACTGGCTCACATCAAATTTGAGAATAATGCAAATAACCAAATGTATATGTGAATGGCAGCCAAAGGCCTGTTTGTGCACTTTATTTTTTGAACCAAATTACAGGACTTCATATTAATTCCTGGTAAATTTCCATTTTGTCAGTTTTTATCCTGAGTTTCTGCCTGATGACATCATATTGGAATGAACGTATACACAAAAAGTTAGAAAAATATGTTTGTTTTGTAATCTCTTCCCATCCCTAAGAGGTTGAGGGTGAGTGTGAAGTGGACCTGTTCCCACTGGCATGGGAATGAGTCTAATCATAGTCATCACATGCAGTTTGATACTTAAGAGATCAAGGAAAAGCAGGACATTCAAGGAATATGGTTTAACCTACTTGTTTTACATATAAGAATCAGATCTCAGAGAGAGTGCTGACTTATTCCATATATCTATTCTTTTTTTGTTTTGATACAGAGTTTTGCTCTGTTGCCCTGGGCTAGAGTGCAGTGGCGTGATTATGGCTCATTGCAACCTCAAACTCCTGGGATCAAGGGATCCTCCTATCTCAGCCTCCGAGTAGCTGGGACTACAGGCACATGCCACGGACACCAGGCTAATTTTTCTATTTTTAGTAGAGACGGGGTCTCGCTCTTGCTCAGGCTTGTCTTGAACTCCTGAGCTCAAGCAATCCTCCCGCCTCGGCCTCCCAGAGTGCTAGGGTTACAGGCGTGAGCCACTGCACCCGGCCTTGACCTGCTCAATGTAACAATTAACTTGTGGCAGAGCTGGGATGAGTCCTCCTTCCTCATTCTAGCTCCTTCCTCTAGTCTGGTTGTTTGTTTATTCAAGGAGAAACAAATAACCATGATATTATGACCACTGATGACAAAAACAACAACAGCCATTCACGGTGCTATTCTGGATGCACTAAAAGTATTCCCAAGGAAGCACAAGCACCCACCCAGAGGGGTGACCTGCACCTAACAACAGAGCAGTGGGTGAGAGCTGTTGGTGATTCAGCACTTGTCTGGGAGTGGGCAGAGGTGAGGTAAAGTT